GAAAAAAAGTGTAGAAGAGTGACTGATCGCAGAAACATGAAACACTCGGGTGACGTGAGTATGACTCAGGATGTCTCATGAGGTTCATGAGTTGCGAAGGGTGTCATGTAACTAATTGCCTCCCAGAGCCAGTATTTAAAGCTTTGGCTGAATTGTCGACCTATAAAACTTTCGCAACTTATGTTTTGCTTTCCGGTCTTGTGAATACTTCCAGAACAGGAGATTCTTTACTTATGCTCCCATACTTGTGTCGTCCCCCTCCCCCCTCCCCTCTTCCTGCGGAAACAATAAGGCGTAAACAAAAAAGGTTATGACCAGTTTCCAGAGGGAGATTTCATTGCAGCAATTTCGGCTAAGGTCCCATATACTATCCATCGAACTTGTCCATCCATTTCATGCCCCTCATCCTATTTCCAAACATTGAACAAATTAAGCCGTTGAAATATGTCGTAGGTGTGATGTCGTAAAGAACGACCACCATCATTTCCTATTTTAGTAGTTTTTTTTTTGAAGAATTATCTTTCACAAATTCTGCTCCTCTCTAATGGTCGGGTAGCATCGATGGATAAAAAAGAGTGAGTAACCCTCAATGAGCACCTACTAGGATGCGCCGTGTGCTAGACTTCTAGCCATATTTATAGGAGAGTTCATTGAACATATATTCTACCAACAAAATGTGGTTTGTGGGTTACTATCTGTTTCGACGTTCATTCTCAAAATGGGGCATTCAACCGTAGCCGTCCCCCTTCGCATTCCCCTGTCCTCACTGTCTAAAGAGGAGATGGAGAGAGAGAGCAGGTACAGACGGTTGAATGCTACCATTTTCGGTCGATTTCCCGTTAGCAAATAGAACTTTTCATCAGTTTTCCAAGGTTTTACTCACGTTGCTTGAATGGTGAGAGGGAGCCTTGAAGCCAGCTGAATTGGCCGCTCAACATAAGCCCTTCCCCTACCAGAGAACAGCACACATTCAGAAATAACTGTGACATCTGAGTGACTGTCCAGAGTATACATCGTAAGTGGGTGGCCAGCCTCAATCAGGGGGCAGTCTGCCTATGAGAGCACATTATCAGTGTATCGAACTTGTAGCAATGAACAGAGTTATCTAGGTAAGATTCAGTCGAGAGATCGATCTCAAACCATTTGTGCAGTAGCGGCGCTGTTTCCCCACTGAACCATCATTAGTTCAAAACGTCGAAATCCTCTCAAATGACGTTATCTCTTTTATACTTCATTACCTTGGCAGTGACGGCCAAATCTATAAATAATCCTACACCATATGTCCCTCTGCCAGTTTTCCTTTGGCCACTGCTGGCCAGAATCATTTCCAGCCCTTCTGGCAAGCCCGTACTCATGAGGACCGTAAAGCAATAAATCCCATATGTCACTGTTTGAAAAAGATTGTGCCTTCATTGCAGTCTATTCTAACTCGGCCATTTTGCTACAAGTCGCTCATTGTTTTGAGTTAATAATCAAAAATTATTGACTCGTCAAGAATTAATGACCAAAACCGAAAAAAAGCCCTCCACGAGGACGTCGGTTAGAAATTCGCCTGAAAAACCAAAGCCTACCGAAGCCTATCGTGAATTCTGGATTAGTATACGGTACAAAGCCATCCCAGATAACTAGGGCATTGACTGGACCTTTTGGGTGACAGGCGAGTCGAGTGCATGGCCATCAAAAGAGGTGGTCGAAGCAAGCTTATTTCTTTCACACCTGAAAAAATACCTTCTTCGATATTCAAAGAATGGTTCTTCTCAAAAGAAATGCCCCATGAAACCCCGGAGTATCTGAGCAGTGGTGGACAGTGTTCGTAGCTGTCAAGAAATCCTGGCCGCAAAAGCCACCCCCATAGCAAGGATATCAACGAAAACTCAGTCCTGATCCTCCCAGCACTCAGCTATTGTCCTAATCGCATTACCCGAGCAGTATGATGAGATTACGGTAGGAATTCAGACCCTCGACCTGAAATTTCGGTCTTGGCCAAAACAGTGCTGCATAGAGGTAAACTAGCTTTCATAATGACCCATGGCGAACGCCATGAGCAAGTAGAACTCTATGTACTGATAGCTTATAAGTAGGTAATCCTCTTGAGGAATCCCTAGTTGACCCTGATGAAGGTCCCAGACTTCTAACAATTGTGCAACGTGCAACTTGTCGCCCTGACGCTGATGGCGGCGGCGGCGACGCGATGTCGCGGACGTGGGGACCGCCCCTTACGAGCCACCGCCCGTCGCCACCACCGCTGTGCCGTCGTCATTGTGATAGTGCGCGATCGATGCGATAGTGCGAATATCGATCGGAAAAACTTCAAAACGGCTACCGGCTTCAATCAATTGGCCCACAGCTTTACTGCATTCCCATCCACATTGTACTCACAAATGCTTGTTATTGTTATTATGATGGGTTTCTCTTGTTCTCAATGTTTTCCACATGTTTCTACTTTGTTGCCTTTTACATTCACTTTTTATCAGAGTAATACCTCACTTTTTTTTATCTAATCGTCGAGAACTTCTGTCGAACCATAAACTGTTCGTGATCGTCATAGAATAAAGCAGAACAGGTTAAGATCTTGGAACGATAAAGTATAGTTAGCTATCAATTGAATTTGCTGTCCGTAGAAGATTGAATTCAATGAATTCCCAATCGATATCCCGATATATCGATATTTCTAACCGATCAAAGACCAGAGGAGTTGTTTGTGGCATTTTTATTCAGGGCTTCCCATGGGAAGTGATAGGGCCGTAAGTTTCCCCAGTTTGTGCTTTTACTTTCATGTTTTATGTTACTTGTTGTCTCTTCCTTGGAAAAGTTTCCTCCTGGGGATTCCTCAGAATAACGTCGTTTTGTATCGCATATAAATTTTTCTTCATATTACAAGCTCAAATGCTGTCTCGAGTATTTTGTAGTTGTTTGTTTTTGTCTGTTGAGCTCCTTTCCTCTAAACTCAGAAGTCTTTTGAAGCTGTTTCACTGGAATGTCTACGAATACAGATTAGAAGGAACTTCTTTTAATCGATATCCGACCTCTATTAGTGGATCTTTCCTTTACATCGAGTTGTGGGTTGGGCACGGCGGAGTCCTTCGGGAGTGGTGAACATACATGTAGTACTGTAAACAAAACTTCCCCAGACCCATGGAAGTATCTGGTTAAGATCAAGGCTAGAAATCGCTTAATACATGTTAAAATTGAAATATTCTTGATTTCCAGTAGAAGTTTCGCACAATTTAATGTACGTGAAGTGAAAGGTCAACCCACTGCTTATTAGTCATCAAAAGTAGACATCGGACACCCAGTTATGTGCTTCCTGTTTATTTATAAAACATTCTCCATAATATATGACAGTAAAAGATGAATCAACTAGGAATGAATAATTCGACATTGATGCAATTCCATTGACTAATCAAATTCTGCTGCTCGTTCCAGATCTTTCTTTTCTTTTCCGTTTTCTTTATGGACGGTTTCCTTTCATTCATTGCAAACCTGAAAGCTTTTGAATGTCTCCAAGATTCAGCTACATTGGTTTTCACTAAATTGATTGTTCCTGGATTGTTACGATGAGTTTTTCCTCCGAGTTTTGCAAACAGTCATTGATTTTTGTGGAATGCTCAAGCTGAGAGCGGTAGCTGTGGCTCTTAAACATTGATTGCGTTTCAGCAGACCAGAAATAATTGCTGGAAGCAAAGCTGGAAATGGAAGGACGTTGAAATACTACAGCGAACTGAGCTTCCTCAAGTTAGGGACCAGATGTAGGGGAGGGCTTCAACTTCTCACCAAGTTTACCACTTTGCGATATCATTTATTCACTAATTCTTTAAGTAAAGAAATGAATGGGGTGGGTGTTGTGAAGGGGTGGAAGATGTGATAAAACTCAACTATCTTGTGTACGCAGTGGTTACTTCGTTGTTCCGCTGACTTTTCAGACCCATAAATTTGACATCCACGAGCCTCTCACCTAGGATCACCCAGATCGCTAAGTTAAGGGGTGAACAATTGGGTTAGAGCGGTTTCTTTGGGCTGGCACTTCCACCTGTTTCAGAGCTGCTCAATCTATTCGTGTTTCTCTTGACCTTCTTTTTTATAACGAAGTTTTCTGGTGCTTGGTGATTCTTTTTGGCTGCCAGTGACCTTGCAAGTATATAGTTCCCCTTGCAACATCATTGAAAAAGGAAGAGCGTCGAGATTTATGCCTAATCGAGGTCTAAGCGATGCCGTCGTCTAATTGATTCTGATTATTCATCCTCTCATATCCCTTTCCATGTATGACTACGTATAAGTGTTATCGACATGGGACTAAGCAGCGGAAGCACTTCGTTAGCAACCGCTTGATGGGAATCCTCAACAAATCCCTGCTCTGCTAATCTTGCTGAAATCCTAAAGCAGCACATCCCTAGTTACTGTTACTGCATAGTCGTCACACGCTCTCAGCTCCATATCACTCCTTTCGAATCAGTTCATTTCCATATTCGCGATGAAAGGTGAAACATTTCTTAATGACATCAATTCGCATTCTCAAATATGTTTTACTTGCAGGAATAACTGGAGCCATGTCGATGACCAGTTTGAGTTCCAAGTCTCGGCGACCCGAAGATATCGTCATCGAAGGTTGGCTGCACAAAAAAGGAGAACACATAAGGAACTGGAGGCCAAGGTATTCAAATTTGGTTGCCATTATTTTTCTTAATACTTTCTATCGAATTGTCCGGAACGTTTCAGCATTAAATTGTTCCGTTTACCAATTTACTATGTGTTATGCATCCTTCGGTTCGGGCCTTGGAATAATGCTAGGCTCACTTCAACTTCAATTAACTGCCACTGTCGACTATTAAAAATCGTTGAACACAATTCTCGTTTTCCGGAGCATAATGGGTCCCTGGGAATCTCAGTAGAGTGGTCTTGTTATCAACAACTTACCGGATCAAGCAATGAAATGACAGTCAGCCATTCACGTATCTAAGGTTACACGTAAGATTAAAATAGTAGCAGGTAAGCAATATGGACGTGCTTTTGTTTCTCACGTTAATCGTAATTTTCAAGCAACTTAACACTTTAAACTTGTTTAGATATTTCATACTGTTCCACGATGGAGCGCTATTGGGATTCAAGACAAAACCGAAGTTAGGGCAACCGTTTCCAGAACCGCTCAACGATTTCATGGTCAAAGATGCACAGGTGCGTGAGCATGTGCTACAGTTTTTGCATGTTTCTCCTCCAGGCTATGCTTCTAACAGTGATGTAGGCAATTTTTTACTTGTTTTCGTCTGACTTATACGCTCTGTACTTTTGTTATTTTGTGCGGGTTGCTGTTGACGAGAGAAAAAAGCGCTAATATATTGTATATAGGGTTGAAGGCGAATGCCACGATGGCTTTTGCAAACTAATTTGGAGTGGAATAGAAGCTTGCCCAATAACATATGAAACTACAACCCAAAACGTAATCATTTACTTGTTGATCGCATCTTGTTTATCTTTATCAGCACGACAACAAATCTGGTAGTTTATTTGCTGCATCTAATGATTGAGGCTTCAAAAACGAAATGGCTCATATAACAAACCAGCTACTTCTCTTTTCTGGCTTAAGCCACAACAAGTACTGGGTAAGGTCCACCTGAATAACTTGCGTTTCCCTGCGTAAATTTAACAGCATGCTATCAAAGGGTTGCTTTGAAGGTAGTCAACTGGATATAATTTTTGTGAAATCATTGATGGAAGGAAGGAAACAGGTTGATATCGTTGATTTCATGGCTCAAATTTCAGTCGATATTGCTTAACGAATGAAAAGGAAGGGGTGTCTAGTTCTAGTAGATGAAATGCTATTCAGTGAGGTGTTTTTTCTGCGCGATCTTTGATTTATTTGTCTGTTTGCCTGCCTATAAGTCGTCATTCCCCCCGAAAACTTTGAGAACAGCAGGCGGAATGTGTAATGCGCATGATCTTTGAGAATCATGGACAAATAGAAAGCGCCGAGCGGAAGGCCAAGCACGTGCTATAGAGCCTGTCTGGTGACAATGTGTTGAGCGCCAAGGTTGTTGACCAGCGATCAAAATACAAACAACAGGGACATATTTTCGCTCATTTCCGTAATGTTTGGATTCTCCCTTGTCAAGATGGAAGTACTGATTGCTGCGATGCAGAAGAAGCAAAACTCATAGTCGTTTTAATCACCTTGAGAGAAAAGTGAAGCCGGCTGCCACCTTGTTTTTTTCAACAGATTGATTCTCGGAGCTCATAGGAAGCTCGATAAGATAAGGTCCGGGTTTATGGCTGGCTACGCTTTTTAAGATATATTCCTTCAAAAACTTCCGAAGTGGGTCGGTAAATTGCTATAAAAATAGTCTAGCCACAGAGTGAACACCTGAAATGAAGTTACTCCATTAAAATAACGGGTAGAAAAGTTATAAAGTGATCAGAATTTTGATGTAATTATTGAGCATTTTTTATTTCTTCTGATTAAGGCCATCCGATACGACAAGCCACGACCAAATATGTTTATGATTCGATGCCTTCAGTGGACCACAGTGATAGAACGCACATTTTATGCGGAAACAGATGAGGTAGGTGTTGTTGATTGTTTATTTGGTCGATGATCTCTGATCCTTGATGAGCCTCTTGGCATGGAGGGGAGGTCTAGACATTAGCTCCGTTCCCAACATGTCCAGTGAGTACAATTTTCAACCTGCCGAACAAATTCAACTTATTGTGAGCAGTGGGCTTTATTTCGAACACTAAGTTTTGAGGGAATGAAGCGACCCTTTTTTTATTTCAGTCTCGAGAGAGATGGATCGCCGCAATAGAGCTAATTGCAAATCGCTATAGGCAACACATGAGTGAGGAACCACAACCAGTTCATGAAGAAATGATGGAAGTTGTAAGCCAGGTTGGAACTATATCGTTCGACAAATTGTTGAATAATCCACTAGTCTAGTCCGTTTTCTATTAGGCTCGATTTTTTTGTTCGGATTTACTGATGCACCGTGCACTTCTGTTCATCTTTTGTCATTTGGGAAGGCTATTGCCCATGCTGATGGTAAATATGAAAACAAAAACAACGAATGAGCAAAAAACTCAGAGCGGAAAACAGCAAACTAATGATCTTAACCCATTGACGACCGCGTGGCCCGCCGGCGGGCCACACCATATCGTACCCCTGTAGTATCTATATTATTTATCAGGTGTTCTTATAACTTTTTTCATGTTTTCAATATCAGCTTGGCTCACAACCTTCTAGAGAATCTTGAGGTATCGTGGTCCGGGAATTATTCACTTTCAACTACAGTTATAAGAGAAATTAAAAGTTAATATAAGGACAATGTAAAAGGCGCGGTCGCCAATGGGTTAAATTTGTTCAGTACCATACTGCCGTGAAGTAAGAAGGAAATAGTCATGTTGGATGAATCATGCTTTTGTCAGCAGTCGAAACACTCAGGATATAATTTTAAGGCATCGATAGACGATCTGTCTAGTGAATATGCTGCTGCAGCTCATGCTATCATGGGTCAACCATCAATGCCATCAACAAACTCAGCATCAGTGTCCACCAGAGGTGAAATGATGAGCATCGCTGACACTAGTGAAGCTGCTAAACGGGATAAGATTGTAAGTAATTTCATAGAGCTCGATTCAATGAAAACGTCTACATCATGTTTCGTATTACGTGGTGTTTAGACGATGGACGATTTCGAGTTTCTCAAAGTTCTTGGTAAAGGCACATTTGGGAAGGTTATTTTATGCAAAGAAAAACGCACATCGAAATTGTATGCGATTAAGATTTTGAAGAAGGAAGTTATCATAGCAAGGGTGAGGTTTTTGCAATTATCGTGTTTAGTCGACCTTCAGTTTTGGGTTTTTCATAATTTCAGGAAGAAGTAACCCATACTCTAACAGAAAATCGTGTTCTACAAAGATGCAAACATCCGTTTCTTACGGTACGCTATTTTGATATTGTACTGCTTTGGGAGTGTTGGAGTGTAAGTGCGCGTTTAAGTGGGTAGCTGATGTCTCAGGGTTTTCATAAGACTCCCGGGATACGTTTAGGGCTAGCAAAAATGACGTGCTAACAATAAGATTCGATGATACGCGACTTAGAGCTATGCTATGGCATCGCGTAGTTTGTCTGTTTAGTTTGCTCTATCAACATGCAATGCCCACAATTTGCTAGACTCAAAAGAGGTTCAGGATGTGGTGGTGAATTTTCATTGAAGAGTATGCACAAGGGGTTGTAAAAGGGGCCCTTTCCAGTTATGCAAGGTGGCAGGCGTCGTTAAACACGTAACAAGTTTCATGGTACTTGAAATACCTAGGATAGAAATTTGTTTGTTTAATAAAAAGAGGAAATTTCAAGCCTATTCGGAGGATTCCCCTTCCTGCTGGAGTCCGCGGGTTTCTGGTTATTTGGAAGGAGAAAAATCTTACTGCTTAGAGGTCATAGATTAGAAAGCAAACCAGGAGCTTCAGCTCGTTACCAGTCAGAGCATCATCTGTCACTGAAGAAAAGGTTTTTTAGGTTTTCAGAGCTTAATCCTCCCACAATGGCCTGAATTTTTTTCCGCAAGAGGGCGCCTATGATTTTTTTTCATAAAAGGGAGTCGTCATGTAATAGGAATTTCCTCTAAGCTGGGACAAAAAAAATCCGAAATTTAAATCATATTACTTTAGTGGAAATTTCAGTATGAACTGTAACGTAGCTTGGAAAATTTACTTACCTTATTTGTCACAAGGGAACTGCAGTCTAGTCAATTTTCCCACCGCGTCTTGAACCTTCTTTAGACCGAAGTTTTTNTTTTTCTTGTCCTCAAAGACGTAGCAATTTTTTCTTAGCAAATTTGTGGAGCTTTTCCAGTAGAAGTAGTATAGCTCTATTGTGTTGTGCTTCTTAAAACACCCTTCTCGTGTTGTTGGAAGCTGAGTTGTACTGTATCAACGTGACGACAACACGCACACATCTTCACTTCACTTCGCCTGGATCGCTATTGGTGGTCGTGTGTTTTTAGCAACTGACGTATAGTTTCCAAACAACGCATCACCTGTGTTTCGTGATGGAATTCGCTAACGGAGGGGAGCTGTTTACGCATCTGCAGAAGAGCGGCACGTTTTCTGAAGCGCGTTCACGTTTTTACGGAGCGGAGATCGTACTCGCTCTCGGATATCTGCACAGTCTTTCAATTGTCTATAGAGATATGAAGGTGGGTTTGTTTTGCTATTTCCGCCATTTCTGTCATAAGAAGGTATCACTGCATGGGTAATGTCACTTTTGCCGAAGTTGTGCTTGTCGTATTTTTATTCGGGAAAAGCACGATTTCTGCAGTTTCACTGTGTGGATTTTACGTTTGTCTGTTCGTAGTCCTCGTTGTTTGAACCAAGACCATTTAAGCACTCGCTAGTGAAGGCTAATTAACAGCATGGTTACCTTTCACTTTAACTTGAATTTCTGTTGAATACTTTAAAATTTATGAGAAAGTAATCGTCATGTCTTCTTTTTGATAGAAAATAGTGACCTCAGTTCCTTAATTTTTTCTTTCAATCTGCTAGATTTCTCGAACTAAGTTCCTATTTTTTTTATCTGTTTATCAGCAGGGGTGCTTGTGTAAAACCACTTTTGGTAATCACTCTCTAGTCCAGTGGAAAATTTTCAGCCACCCGTGACCTTAGTTCTTATTTTCCGTTGCTGGTATGGTATCTCCCTTATCTCCCTTTTTGCATGTGCGTGTTTGTAGTGAGCTTTTCGCTTAACAAATGCTATTGAACGGTTAGATCTGTTGTAGATTGCCTAGTCGTGTTCCCATTGAAAGGGTTAGCACGTTGATGGACCCACAACTTTAGAAGTTGCTGGTCCCAAACCCTTCGCTGAAGGTGAAAACTCGAATCGTATGAAGCACTTCAGCTTCAAGAGAGATGAAGAATTTTTCGTAGTTGTTTTTCCTATTTTCAAGCCAGTGGCAAGGTCCCCGGCGTGAAGACCACCTGCTTCGACAGAAGAAAATTCACTAGCAACCATAATTGTAATAGAGGAATGAGCGCAATTTTGGTTCTTGGTCAGATGGTACAAGACTTCTGGGGAAATTTTAAAGTTCAAATTCATGCTTTACGCCCCTCATCCGTTATATGCTAGATTTGAGGGTTTAGAAGGATAGGGAGAGGGGGTTGGGGTAGAGAGACAGTGGGAGTGGTTGCGCGACATATTAAACTATAATCACAACTTTTGTTGAATCAGTAATTGTGTACAGGAGCTGAAATATTCGTTCCAAACGGCTGATCGTCTATGCTTCGTGATGGAATTCGCTATCGGCGGTGATCTGTATTATCATCTGAATCGCGAAGTACAAATTTCAAAGGAAGGCTTCTCTGAGCCGCGTGCTCGGTTCTATGGCGCCGAGATTGTCTTGGCACTTGGTTACCTTCACGCAAACAACATCGTTTATCGCGACCTGAAGGTCTGAGCTTGAGGAACTAAATAAGTCGAAGCTCTTCATTCATTGGCATCCATGAGAAAGATGATTTCTATCGATTTGTTATAATGAAAAGGGAACACATTAACAGCCCTACCTTTACTTTTATGATCGGTCATAGTCCATGTGTTTTCTGCTTTTGATGACATGACGTTCAATATTGAGCTCAAATATTGAAAAAGTGGAAAGTTTCATATATAACAGCTTAGTCTCAGAATTCTCAAATTAAGATGGAATAGCTGCCCCTAGTTTTATTTTGTTGAGGGAGCCAGAAAATAAGTTAGGAAATTATACTTTTACCGCTATTTTGGGTTGTGTACATCATTGTTAATACAAAAAATAAAAAGAACCAAAGAAAGAACTATTTGAACCACTGGGGTGGCCAATAACATAGAATCCGTTTTCGGACCCTTCGAGTTCATTCGTTGCTGCAGGAATTCACCTTGATAGAAATCAGGTTCAATCAAACTAACTATTGTGCAGCAATAATTTTTTTATAATAATACTTCACGACTGGTTTCAAATCACACAGTGTATTCCAAGAGTTTCTGTTTAAGAGAGTGGATTGTATTGAGTCGGAAGGTTACAATTGGTGATGCCCCACTGGGTAGTTATCAGATAAGTCCATAAATCGGTGGTCCAATCGAGCAATCTGCCTTTACTTCAGTGTTCCTTGGCACTGATCCTCTTTTGGACAGGGGAAACAATGAAGGGAATGAATAGGTTAGAAGTTTTCGCACCCTTCCAGCTTTCAAATTACCTCCTTCACTGGCTACAGTAGGATCTACTCGTGAACTGAATTCTTACTTTTGCGAACCAACTAGATCCTTCTGCCTCTGCGCGATATGGTCTACGCTCAAGAAATTCTTGGCACACACTGTGTTTTACAAAGAGTGCATTTTTTGTTTCATTCCCGTTTTTGTTCTTGTGCCGTTTCTGTGTTCTGCGAATGTTTTGTTCGTGTCCCGTAACTGTTTTCCTTTTTGAGGTTCATCCTTATTAAAACCACTTTTTGTTACAGTTGGAAAATTTGCTGCTTGATAAGGATGGACATATAAAAATAGCTGATTTTGGCCTATGTAAAGAAGAGATTAGCTTTGGAGACAAGACTAGCACATTCTGTGGAACGCCCGAGTATCTTGCACCGGAGGTAAGTACGATTTGAGGATCTTAGTGATGTTTCGCATTTGTCTTCAAATAGAGAAGCAGAAACTACGCTTTCATGGTATACTACTTCTTAACTGCCAGGAAAAACTCTCCCATCTTCTAATTATTTAATGACTTTTCGATGTTTTTTTTTATCCTCTCAGGACTTTTACTTCCTTGAACCATGAACTATTTGTGCTATGTCATTTATAAAACCCATACACATGTTTCTGATCCTGTTCTAGAACCGTGCGATGTGATTGTCTGACGAATATGCGGGGAAAAGAGTACTGCTACGGGCCGTATGTAGTGAAAATATTTAAAAAAGTTATTTTGCAATAAGATGGCCGAAAGAAACCAAGTTGCAAAGGCCCAAAAGGAATAATAGGCAATCAGTTTATGAGGTTGACTGGAGGTTGCTTCAATAGTTGCTACCTATGACCGGATGCCCACCGATGTCTTGACCGCAACATCGATTTGAAACGTAATAAAGGAGGGATTCTGCTGAGCTATACCGTATTCTCCATTTGTAATGCTATGCTATGTGTGTGCTTATTATGAAGAAAAAAAAAACTAGCACTCTGTTCCACGGTCCTGTCCTGACAAAAACAGCTTTTTCAGGTGCTCGAAGACAATGATTACGGTCGTAGTGTGGATTGGTGGGGTGTTGGTGTGGTAATGTATGAGATGATGTGCGGTCGACTGCCATTTTATTCGCGTGATCATCAAAAGCTGTTTGAACTTATAATGGCATCTGAACTACGATTCCCCAGCAAACTCAGTGCAGAGGCAAAGCAACTATTAGCTGGATTGCTTTTTAAGGACCCCACGCAGCGGTTGGTTTGCGGCTTTGAATAATTTTTTCATGACTTACTATTAGCTTAATGTGTATGATTCAGCTTGGGAGGTGGACCAGATGACGCTTTAGAAGTTTGTCAGCAACCATTCTTTAAATCTATTGACTGGGAAAAATTGTACAGAAAGGAGATTGAACCTCCATACAAACCATCAGTTCAAAGCGAGACGGATACGAGCTATTTTGATAAGGTCAGTTTGTAATGCGAAGTGGAACAGGTGCTCATGATACTCACTTCGATAGCTTTTCAGGAGTTTACTTCGGCTCCTGTCCAACTGACTCCTCCACCTGCTCGATCTGGACCGTTAGCAACCGTAGATGAGCTGGATGAGATGCAGTCGAACTTTACACAGTTTTCGTTCCACAACACCGTAAGTGAATTGGAAAAACTTCATTTACTCTGTGCTTAATTCGTGTTTTTAATGTTGATATGTTGGAAGCAGTGCTTTGATTTGTTTTTGTATACTTACCGGGTACGGTGCTTTTCTGTTTTTTTTTGTTTTGAGGCATAATTCGTGATGACGCGCGTTGAAAACATTTTCTTTGGTGTAAGCGCATTTCCTTTTGCGTAAGGGTGCGATTACAGTATTCCTACCTTAGAGCAGTCTTCTTCCGATACCACCTGAGGTGGTTGGTTTGATGGCGCACCTGTAGACGCCACTAACGGCGGTAGGGTAAAAAAATCGGCTAGCCCTTGTTGTGTTGCAAACCATTTTTCGATTCGTAAAAACCGCATCTTCCGATAGAGCCTAGGTCCCTTCCCGATAGGCAGTCAAAGAAGGAACCATGCTTCATTGCGAATTGCGCTTTTGAGTTGAAAGGGACTAGAGCTTTGTGTGCTTTGTTTTCCAGTCGTAGTTGTTCTTTGTTCCAATGATATTCCTGTTTGGTTAGTTGGATTTGATCGTTTCGTGTGACCAGGATTTTTGCCTGGATTGGCCCCTGAATAGGAAAAAAATCCCTGTCGTTTAATACAACCTTGGTCAGGGAACAGCATCCGTACGTATATTATTACCGGATGAAGTCGATGATTTCACAACAGAAGAATTATGTTGACGATGAGAAGGGTCATGGACATCCTTCTGTTCGTCTTAACGATCAGCTACAGGTATTGGTTGGTCCTGATACATTAACACGCACACACAATTACACAGCATGAAAGCCTCTCGTATGATTCCATACCACTTCCTTTAGCACTCACCATCAAAAGAAGGGTTAGGGCGTGAGCATAGAAATGCAACAACCGAGTCTTTTGCTGAACTTGCGAAATTTAGCCTTTTTTCGGCTTCTTTTGAGGTTTGTTAAGTTCTTGTCAAAATCAGTTCCCCTTTCAGACTACGCCTGTGAAGGATCGGGTAGAGAAACGAAAATACTTAATTCGCTCATAATTATGAAAAAAAAAACTTCATCTTCACTTACTTTGGTGCACGAACCTGAAAAATTGATACAGTTTTTTTTCGAAGCGCTTTGGTGTCGTCTGTCTGTCTGTGATTGTCGGTCTGTCTGTCAGTCTGTCTGTCTGTCTTTCAGTCTGTTTGCTTGTATTCCTAGAACAACGTACACATTGAGATCTTATCATACTGAGCGAACTAATGAGCTGTAGGATCTCAACGGTGTTTGCTTTGTTTTTACTCCTTCAAAGGTTGTTGTAATGTACTTGGTAGNTACTCAAGAAATTCGAAGGTTTACTTATGACTAATACCTTTTCTTTGCAGCTCGACAGTAGTTTGCGGGAGGCAAGTGAAATGATGGAGTGAACGGTGTATGGGCAACTACATTCTTGGCGTCCGGTAGTGAAAGCTCAACCGTTGCTGTTGTTGTGGTACAATTTTATTACCTCATTTAACGGAAGAAATGACACTGTTCCTGAATAAACGGACTCCACTCGCTTAGGCTTTTCTAGAGGTAGGTCAAAATATTTGTTGTGCAAAGGTTTTCCATGACAAGGTCCGTTTGTAGAGCGAAATAGATAGAGGTAATTTTGATTTTTGCAAGATATATTAACGTCCTCACTCACAAATATATAATTTGTCGCAGTTACCGCTCAATTCGTCAAAAATGGGTGCCATTCTTATTGTTACCCCTGTTAAGGGTCTAAAACTTGAAGTATGAAACAAGTGACATTGTGATGACATTCGAACCAGCTGCTCGAGCCATTTTTAGTTCATTGCCGTGCAAATGAATCCTGATGTTGCATTCGGTTTTATCCGTCCTCAGTGTTGCGAAATAAATTGTAATGCATCGGCGACCCCTTTATTAATTAGCTTCCAAAGCACAACCCTTTCTAATTTTCATAACATGCCAGCCTGCAAGCGCCTCTCTGACGCGTTCTCATGATAAAACCGAATGTAACCCATGGCGTTTGTATTACGACTCCAGCAGTGGTCCTCCGTCATCCTCGATTTTCAATTTAGGATTTGGCGACAATGTTCAACTTCGTTAGGTTCCCTCTGCAATTACTGCGCAGTCGTTATTGATGTGCCCCGAGCTTGCTTGTAGAAGTTATTCGTTACACAGTTCGGGTAATATTTTCACGAGTTAGTTTGCTAAGGGGGACGTGATGCTCGTGGCCTTATTACGTGTGTTGCGAGAGCAGTGTAAGAAGTAAAAAGTGGGCGGTGTCGAGGTCAGAGGTAACTCTGCACTAGCGCTGGCACTCATCTTCCGCCTTCAACACAGTATCCATCCTGATTTGAATCGAAAGAAGAGCAGGGATTCCAAGTGCCATGTAAAAGAATGACAACTGGTTCTTGTTTCTCATGAAAAAGTGCTTTTGTGGTAGGTACCCCTGCTCTTTTCCTATTATCTGAACATGAAGTATAGTTCTGATTCTTAGTGCCCAAGTTCTGAGATCCTTGAGGCGAAGCTTGGCTGGTAAGGCGCAATCGCTTACGAAACCGTTGTTCGTGGGAGGTCCCAGGCCACAAGCAGTTAGAAGTGCTTTCTTAGAGCTCCTCAACCAGCCTGCGCCTAGTCCCATTTAGTAAGCTCCCAACTCTAGAGTGACAGTACACTCTTGTCCATTACCGTTCTTATTTCACGTGATAGACGGCGTAATAACGCTATGAGCATCACTTTGAATTCATTGAATGAGCATGAAAGAAAACAAAGCGAGTGGAATGTCTCCGACGATGTGATTGCTGGACGGGTTCGTTTTTGTCGTTAGTATTTACGCTTTCTTTTCACAGTTATATGTTGTTGAAATTTTAAGATTACATATGGATTTGTTGTCGTTTGTGATAAGTTTTCCACTGATAGCAGTGAGTGAACGCGCTTGGTCTATGCTCACTGTTTTTCGTTTTCCAAGTCGTTCAAATCATTCAACAAAGCTATGAATTTCTGGCATTAGCTTGTAGATATGGCTTGCCCCAATTGGTTGTGATGATCATGCCCCGAATCTTTCAACTATTTATTATTTTTATACAGGGGCAAGTCGTTTTTGATGTGACGAAGATGATTTGAGATTGATTGACACATATATCGTTTGACAATGTTCATGATGAAATGTGTTCCGCTTAGTATTCACATTGTTGGTCAGCTGTTGCTTAGCCCCCTTGGTTGTGGTCATACTCAGCCAAGTTACCTTACCAAGTTACCACAAGTACGCCGTAGTCTTTTCCATCCTTCGTCTCTTCTTAGCATGCACTATCTCGCACTGTCACCGTCGCCTTCGCTGAGTATAACCACAGACCGTAAAGGTTGTACGAATTTATTGAGAGATTAGTCGATTCATAGTTGTCAGAAGTGAAAACCGTATAGCGGTCGCTGATATGATGATTTTGGCGTAAACAATAAAGTTGTAACGCTTTGTTTATGTCAAATGGCTTTCAACATACGTGCTTGTGTTAGTTTTTGGAATTGAATTCAACAGGTTCACCATAAAAACAAGAACTCTACCAAGTTATTTTACAAATAAATAATGCTCAACACGCATTTCGAAAAAAATGGTCAATACATTAGGAGAGTGTGGCTCACATATGTAATCAAACAACGAGCTATTGTAATCTGAAACATCGAATGGGCTAAGATTAGATGAGATGTGCTGCACAAGAAGTCAACTGAGAGTTGTCGTAAAATAATGGGGTCTATGGAAGAACTGCTGCTGCGATAATCTGCTGGTATGTATGAGTGCAGGACTAGAATGATCGTCAACGGTGGCATTTTAGAGGTGCAAATACTAGATTTGTACGAAGGAGAATCACTTGGTGAGAAGTTTATTGGCTCTCTTGTTTGCCGATTCAACACGAACTTCGTTCGATTGTGCCTGAAAAGCATTATAATTAATAAAGAATGGAGCAGATATCATGACGCGATCGGTTTTTCCAGGATGCGCCGTGCATTCGGCTCGCACTCCTTTTGCCACGAATTTTTGAATACTCATTTAGGTCAAGAAACAGCGCGACGTTCAATATTAGGTGCGCTTGAGCCGGCGATTGATCCTTCCAAGCAAGTGCATCAAAATTGATAGCATTTATGGGCTTAACTTGGCCAACATTTGTCCCAATAGGGACTTGAGCACTACAGGGCAACTATCATGCCTGGGGAGCACTCACCTTATCATGTATGCGGTCAAGTTGTCTGTTTTGGTTCGAGACCTCTGTGCTCATATCAATGGCCATGTTACGCAGATTTCCGACCATTGTGGATACCTGAAATAGTCTTTTGTTATGCTGATTGGGTGATTCCAGAACATGAAGGTCAATTTCTTC